TGTGTGTGTGTGTTTGTGTTGTGTGTGTTTGTGTTGTGTGTGTTTGTGTTGTGTTGTGTTGTGTTGTGTTGTGTTGTGTTGTGTTGTGTTGTGTTGTGTTGTGTTGTGTTGTGTTGTGTTGTGTTGTGTTGTGTTGTGTTGTGTTGTGTTGTGTTGTGTGTTGTGTGTTGTGTTGTGTTGTGTTTTGTGTCGTGTTGTGTGTTGTGTTTTGTGTTGTGTTGTGTTGTGTTGTGTTGTGTCGTGTTGCTAGTGCAAGTTCATGTCGCTGAGGCAGTGCTTGCCAAGGCTCCCAGAAGGCCGCGAGGTAGGGCTCCTCGTCTGCCTGCCATCCCAGAGTGATGGCTCCTTCTCGAACTCCCGACACGCTGAAAGCCTGCTCGACACCGCAGAGGAGGCGCTCCAACTGCTCTAAGCCCACATGATGACGAATCATCTGTGAGAGGCCCGCGACTTCACGGAAGCCTTCACAAAATGCCGTCTGCGTCTTCAAGGATCGCCCGTTGAAGAACCAGCACACATAATCACGCACGTACTTCATCCGCTCATCCTTCGGCACGCCTTTCAAACTCCGAGCATCCGGCCACTCCAAAACGAAAAGCTCATCAATGTCATCGCCTTCATACTCCACGAGGTGCTCCAGGCTGCGTGCGATGGCAGAGTCCACTCCTGCAAGCTCCACCAGCGACCACGGCCTCGCGTACGGTGAGGACATCTGCTGGAGAAGAAGGTTGTACAAAGCCGCGGGGTAAACTGAGGGCAGAAAGCAGTCGTTTGCGATCGCATGCCCGACTAAAGCACCCGTGGCCCGGCATGTGTCCTCGCATCCTTCTGCTTGCGGGTTGAACCAATGCGTTCGGTTCTCTTCGTTGTACAACCACGGCTGGCTGGGATGTGCTTGCTGTAGAGCAGAAACGAAGGCGAGGCGAATGAACTCCTTGTTGACGCCAGGACCACTGGCTGGCTCACCTACAAAGCTCACTTGAAAGAGCTGGCCGATGTGAGAAAACAGACTCACTTTTTCATCTGCCAGCACCCTCTCCAAGTTTTGCGGGCGCACTTTCTTGTCTTGCCCATCTGGCAGTTGAACGGCCCACCTGCCAGTTGAGTCATCAAACCTCCTCAAGATCCCAGTTTTACCATTCAGCTGCGGCTGGGCAGTCAAGCCGTGCAAGCGCACCTCGCTCCCTTCACAGAAGGCGCTTCCCAAAGCGGCAACCACGCCTGCAAGCAGCTCAGCAGGGGGCTCGCGCTTCACCTTCAGTGGGCGCAGTGTCTTTGCCGATCTTGCACTGGTGGTGGCGCTCCGAACGTCGAAGATGGCACACTGACGGCGAAACGTTTCTGGCACCAAGCTCGCGTGCGTTAGAAAGCAAGTAAACCGAGCATTGATGCTGAAGGGATGCATCTGGAGAACATTACTGCACTCCTCCTCCTGCGAATCCAGGGTTTGGTGCCACCTATGCCAATCTGACAAAGCACTGCACTTGTCAATACCTCGACGTATAAAGCTGGAGGCTTCTGGAAGTCTCGCACCCTCCGAGTAGATTTCCCCCAATCGGTGCTCTGCCAAAGGGAGCCTGTTGGCCGCATCTAGAATCTGCAAGAAGCCAATCGTATGCCAGAAACCAGTGCCGCCAGCTATGTTCTTGATGTCCTTAATAGGGGGGGGGGGGGGGGGGATTGACATAGATCCGCAAGGGCAATGGCGCTACTAAGGTGCCTGCAAAGAAGGCCGCTCTACAATGACTCTACAAATGCCCAAGCACACAACAGTCGCCCGTCCAAGCAGTCCTTTTATCCTCTTTGGTCTTTTGAATAATTCGGCAAACCTTAGCACTTAGCGGCCCTAAGGCAGTCCTCCACATGTACCACACTGGCATCTGCAACATCGACGACCGCCCTGACCAGCTGCTGAAACATGTGAATCGGCCACTGGAAGGCCAGGTCTCTCAGAATGAGCTCTCGCTCGCAAGGAGGTACTGACAAGATCTGGTGTGAGATGAACCACACGAAGTGAACCACCCAGGAGGAATGCTCCATGTCTCGATTGGCGAAGAGCGACTCGAGCTGCTCGTAGCACTTCTTGCAGAAGTCAACATCACACCCGTCCTGGCAGTGCCAGTACTCTCTGTCCTGTATATGTGCGTCACAGTTGTCACACGCACGATTGGTCTGGAAAATAGACTGGCCAGAGATGGTTATTGACTGAGCCGTGTCCGGCATGACCTGTTTCTGTAGCGGGTGCGGGTGAGGGACCACGCATGTTCCACGCCGGTCTTTGGGCAGTGCGTCGACGAGCAGTGGCAAGGCGAATGCAAGCAATGCTTCGATCCAGTGGACGTTGCTTTCCGAAGCCGCAGCAGCACCGACATCCTCACAAATGCTGTCCAGGCTGGCGCGAGCGGAAGCTTTTGCAGCTGCGACATCTGCTGTCGCCTGACGCGGATGGTGCATCAGCGGCTGCAGTGCGCGGTGCAGTCCTTCCAGGGCTTCTCTTTGCAAGAATCTCCTCAGATCTTCCGCAGGTAAAGAGCCTCCAGAAAGCGTGTCCAGCAGTTCATCTGGAGTCAAAGAACTGCTGTATCCAGCTTTCATGGCTGCGAGGCGTCAACGGTCGTAGAATATTAGCGCCTGGTAGGCTACATGCCTGCATGCCTGCCTACAAGGTTGAACATCCCACTCATTGCAGGCTTCTGATGTGCTGTCGACTGGCTTCATCAGCTTCTGATGCACGCAGTGCAAAATTCGAGTTGCTTGCCCATGTCCATGTCAGTTGTAGAACTGCAAAGCTTCAGCAGCCATTCACAAGTCTGACAGCGAAGATCCGACAGTGTAAGTCAAAGCGAAGTAACCGATCGATATCGATACGTATAAACACACATCTACATAGACACATACAGATACATATACAGATCCATATACCTATATACATATTTCATGTACATGTACATATTCAATTTCATATATATATATATATATATAGATGGCAACCCCCCCCCCCGACCGCCAAGCACCAACCTGCCTTCATTTTACTCGTAAATAACGGCTTCTCCTGCACTTTCCACAGGATCCGAAATGATCCAAATTGCGTGGATGTAGCCCCAAATCCAAAAACTCCAAAACTTTTTTCCAAAAACTCCCAACCTTCCGGTCACATGTCCTAAAATTCCAAGGCCCGCGGGTCCAGCCAAAGGCCAGGCACATGGGTACGGTACGGGAACTTCTGGAGTTTTGGGAATGTTTGGAGTTTTCGAATTTCAGGAATCTTAGGAAATCCTGGATTTTTCGGAATTTGTGGTCCCGGGTTGTTAGGATTTGCCTTCGATGTCTTGGAGTCCCGTTTGTCTTTCATTCCAAAGAACCCAGGCCTATGGGTCCAGGGCTTGGGCCAGGCACATGCGTGCAGGACATAGTCCCCATCCGTTTTCGGATTGTTTGGGAATTCCTGGCCCCATCGGTCCGGCATGTGGCCCCGTCCGCTTGGATTTTGTCGTTGGATGTTTTGTTTTGGAACTTTTAGAACTTCTGGAACCTTTCGAACTTGTTTGGAATCCTTGGTTTTTTTTTTTAATTTCGACATGGGACATGGTCCCTGATTTTTTGGGAATTCATGGTCCCATGGGTCCGGGTCAATCGCCCTCCTACGAGTTTTCCTCTTCTCGTTTATAGACGGAGAGCCCCTTCTAAGGACTTTATTCCTAACCATGAATGGAGGAGCTTCCATTATCTTGGCTTTCATTCTGCAGAAGACCATCCTCTTCATCTTCCAGCTTTTTTGAAAGAAAACCCCTGAAAATAGAAAGATAGAACAGCAGCCACGTAGTAATCCAGCGTAGTCTTTCGTGAAATGACCCTTAACATGTCTCTCGAAAATAGGCGGTGGGATTACACAGGATGGAGGTGAAAATGAGGGTATTCTATCGCATGAGGGGTAGTGAGGGATGACGGTAGGCTCAAGCACGAAGGGTGCTGAGTGTTGCTGCGTAGCTGTCTTTCTTTCGTTTAGAGTTATGCAAAGCCGAAAACAAAAATTGAAACCGTTGTGTCTGTGTGTATCTACGGTTCGTTCTTGGGAGCTAATGGCGAAGGGGCTAATGGCTTATATAATGGGGAACTGCCTTGATGCGTTAGTGCATTAATGGGCTCATGATTCGTTAATGCATTGATTGGTTGAACCATTCATAGGACCAGGACTGGGTCAATGGGTTAACGGTTAACGGGGTAACGGGAGAACGGGCGCCTCACCCGAAAGGCGCCTCGTTTCCCGGATGCGTCGCGAATCAAGAGCGTTTTCGGGATTTGGTTGAGCGAACTGAATAACTCAATGTTGGGCTTTTCGGGGATGATCTCCAAAACCCTGACGTGGTTGGCTTGATAGGGTCTAGACTCTAAGGTTTGGGCATTGCCCTAAACCCTTTAGGGTCAGAACCCTAAAACCCTACAGGGCTCCAAAAGGTTGAAAGGCTGTAACCCACGTAACCCTATAGGCGCTGAAGGATACATGTCCAGACCTCGGTCTAAGTGCAGATGAAGTATTAGAATTTAAGCCTCAGGTTTAGGCAGTTGAACCTTTGAAAGGGTTGTTGGGGTTTTATCTCTAAAACCCTGACGGGGTTAGCCCTTTTGGGTTTAAACCTTATAGGGTTTAAGGTTTAGGCATAGTAGCCTACAGGATTAGAACCTTATGACCCTATAGGGCTTGAGGCTCAAATCCCTAAACATTACATCCCAGAGGGTTCTGCCTATGTTTATAGTATGTAGGGCCTCCCGTGGACATGCACAGAACATGTATAAGAAATACCCACATCATGTATGTATAGAGGGTGTATGCATTGTATATTCAAATGCGAAAAATGGAAGGATGGTAGGCCTCGAACCATGAGACTATGAAGCATTCGAGCACAGAGGGTGATGCGAAAAAAGCACATACATGCAAGAACACATTGAACAGTCAACGAGGGCCTTCATGGAAGCTTGCAGAAGACTTGCAAGGCCCGGGCTTGGAAGAGAGAGCTGGCCCGGACCTGATCCCGTGACCTGCGCTCTCGCGTGTGCTCGCGTGTGATCGCGTGTGCAGTGGTTGTGATTGCGTGTGCATGTTTAGCCTCGTCCGGCTCCTCACAATCATCATCAGAAGCTTGAGGCCTTGAGAGCACAGCCACTGTTGCATGCGAACACAGACCTGCTGATGACACCGAATATGACCAAATGCATCGTTGAGGCGCTCGCCCTGCCCTGACGAGTCTGGGCCCGAATGGGCCGGGCACCAGAAGGAAGTGACCTCTCGACCGCGACGATCGCCATGGGAGGAGCATGGAACATGGAAGAGCGAACTCAGAAAAGGAACGCAACGGGCCAAGGCCGGCACCTCCATCATGATCGCATCGATCGATCAAAGCCTCTTGCTAAGTCGGAAAGCGCCCCGATCGCAGGCACTCTCCATTTACTCCCCGTGAAAAGACTGAACTGCCTCCAGGAGGTTGTGGCTAGCTTCTCGGAGAACTGTCGGATCAAACGCCTGGGAGCGCAAAAGCTTCTCACATGGTACGTTTTCTAACCCGTACATGTGACCGGCTACGCCAAACAGCGGCTGTCGCAGAGTGCTCTCGAAGCTCAAGTCTAAGCTCACTCTCACTCTCTTCAAGCTATCTCCAGGTGCCCGACAGTGGAAGTTTCCACCTCTTCATTGGACAGACGCTTGTGCTCGTCGATTCTGTACGCCTCGCCAGGACTGCTGTTTCAAAAATATTGACCATGGGCTACGTTGGCTTGGAAATGTTGGAAAAGGTGGTCCCTGCATGCATCTGGTGCCCAGAAGCGTGCACGCACCAAGCCGGCATTTCGTTTGTCGCGTTTTGCCTTTCACGCTTTTTCCTGAGCGTTTTGCATACAGGCAGAGAACGTACAACCAACATGTCGGATTTTCGAGTTTACCGTTTTCGCTCCCTTCCTTTGTGCAGAAGCATGACCGCGTGAAAGTAGGAAACTGTAACAAGTTGCTTCGCTGACAAGAAATCATAAAGTGCAAAATGCAAATTTCCGCTTCTCGTTTTCGGGCTTACGTTTGCCCTTTCTGCCCCCATGGCTTTGCAAGCAGTGTCCGTAGGCAAACACTGCACGGGACACGCTGCTGATTTAAGACGAGTCTTAGCTTCTCCTGGCACGGGGGAATCTCTTCGGGTCGGGGTCCTGGGCAGAGGGGTTGCTCCGTCATGGGGAGAACCTTGTGAATGTGCACAGCCACACCAACAGCCCCAAGCTTTAAGTAACCCATACTAGTAAAGCCAGTCTTGCACCAGACAGCTGCACTACTGCGTGTGGTTAAAACAGTGTATAGGCTACTGGTGACCCCTGGACAAAGCTCACGAGCACATGCAAGCACGCAAACGAACCAGCGCATTGTTCGCTTCATGGGGTCACATGGGACCCCGTGGAGGTTTCAACAACACCAAGCCAACAGTGAACACGGTAAAAGCCTTGGCGATGTCCTCCAGATGGGGTATATCAGCTGCCAGCCTCTTAGGCAATCTGCAACAGGGAAGTACAGAACATAGCAGGACCTGCAAGGGAGTGGCACACTCAATCCAGGGCGCCAGCACAAATCGGCATCCGCGGCAAATTCCCTCTGAGTCCACCTCAAAGGTACCAGGAAACCCTCTCGGAGGCGCCCCCAAAAAAACAGCAAAAAAAAAACAGAACTGAGAGCCTGTTTCCGGAAGAAACCGTCCCTGGAGGCCCGGGCAAAGAAGCACAGCAGCGAGGGCGAGCCATGCAGGCAGCACCTGCCAAACAATGCCGCGTGCCTACTGAGTTACTATTATGAATTATGGGTTCCTGCTATGACCTCCTACTCTGAGCTACTACTGCATTGCAGCGTCTTCCATGTCGACGCACTCTCGCTCAACTCTCGCTCACCCCTGGCAGGACAAGTGCCACCAGGAGACGACAGCCAGGAATCAATCAGCGTGCGTGTCTCAAGCGGCGAATTCAGCGGCACCTCTAGACAAACAAAGTGGCTCCTTGCAACATTTGGCTGCCTGCTCAGGTGCCGACAACCAGCACGGCCGTGCGATCCTACAAGGGGAGAAAATCTTGCTCGGGCCCCATCTTGTCCCTGCTTTGCTGCTCTGCTTGGCTCCTCCGTGACACGCCGATGATACCTTGGAAGCGACGTTCTGTCGGCCAAGTCATGCGGCACAACGAGGTTCCCTGCAAAGCACAGGGCATTGCCAAGCAACTTGCCTAGCATACGCGGAAATCCTAGTACTTGGTGTGACATGGCCTGATGCCCAGCTCATGTAGCCCTTGTGCACCTCGCACATGGAGTCGGAGGGCAAAACGATGAAAAACATGCCTTCACAAAGGGATCGAGGCGCTGGCGTTCGAGGTCTGTCTGTCCAGAAGCCGAAGCTGAGGGCTCCTACAGCACACCCTACAGGCAGATCCTATGGCCGATCAACATCCTGCTGCTCTTGGGCACCCTGAAGGCCCCGAAGATGGCCCGTCTACGCCTTGCAAGCCTTACATCCCCTGCCACCCGGAAAGCGCGAAGGCCTCGGGTCCACCGGGCTGTCACCTTGCGGGAGTGAGTTCTCTGAGTTGAGCCAGAGCCTCTTCCCCGCCGTCTCCTTGTCTGAGGACGTCGCCCGAGCTCATTGGGGTGACGGCAACAAGCGAGAGGCCCTCACGGACCTTCGCAAAGGGACCCGGAAACGACAATGTGCTCTTCCTCCGTGACCTTACACTCTGCAGCCTGGGCACACGCCACTCACAGCAAGCGGTCGTTGGAGCTGTCGGCAGGGCATCTACATTGACCTTACGTATTGATGCTTCAAGAAGCACAAGACAAGCTTTGGAATGCAGCAGCGGCCGAGCCCTCCAATTATTGAGCACCTACAACAGTCACAACAAACAAGTCCCAACAACATCAACATCCAACAACAAACGCTCCAGCATGCCGTGCTACAGGTGTCTCGGGTCGTGATGCCAAGCATCTTGACGCATCTTGACACAACCGGCCCACATGTCTTCGTGTAGACGAGGCCAATGCTGGCTCTGCAGTTTGGATCGTGGGGAAGACCCGCACCATATTCCCGTCGACACGCACCTGCTTCACACAGCCAAGGGCTCATCATGGTTCGTCATATCCCCTCATGGCACCCGTCACACCTGGCAGCGGGAGCCTGACAGCTGCCTTGGGGAGTACCTTGCCCATTCGAGGCAGTTGAAGTTCCGACTGCATCTGCAGTGGCCCATCTCGCCTAGGGGACGATATCTTGTCGAGGCCGCCCGATTGATCCACGTCCTGTATCATGATGTCTGGTTTCTGAATCCGAGGCACGCGCAGAGGCTCTGCGAGCCTCGTCCTCCGAAATCTGCTTGGCGGCATCAACAACGACCTAATGCAATGGCCGTGATCTGCCATGTGAGGGCTGGCGCAGGAAGCTCCCTCAATCTGCGCGCACTCGGTCACTCGGGGCTCTTGCCAGGCAGTTCCCAATTCTATGCAAAGCTAGGGCCTCATGAAACTGCGAGCTTCGACTTCGCTCCCACGACCGAGCTAAGCACACTCGACGGGACAAGTGAAGATTGCATGTCGCTTCGCTCCGGCTACGCCGCGTTGCCATCTGGCCACGCCTCGCCGGCCTCTTGGAGGGGCAGCTCGAAGAGTCGCTTCAGAGCCTGCCAAAGTCTGCAGACAGCGGTGGCTCAGAGGCCATCCAGCATCTCTCCATCGTGGCATTGGCAATTCTGAGGCACTGGCAGTTGTCTCTCCCACCACCCGCACTGGACACCTTGTCGAACATACCCCAGTCGGTCACGCAGCCAGCTCTGCTAATGAAGTGAACTCTGACATGGGCAGTGTGAAGTGAGCTGTGCACCCATCGCAGGTCTCGGCATGCTGCCAAGGCCTTGCTTCCCAGATCTTCCGAAAAAAGCACTGAAAAGAAGGACTGGGGGGGGGTGTTTTCCGCAAAAAGGAGGCTGCTGCAGCCTGCGGTGCAGTGTCACGGGAGCTGACCTGATGTCATCTCTCCTCCCAGACTCCCCCAGATGCGAATCTGGCGGGTGTTCCCCGCTGGGCCGTCCGGCCCTGCCCGGGGTGTTAAACTTGGGTGCTTGTGGCAATTTACGCTCAGCCCGGATGTCATCTGGTCCTATAGACTCTTGGGGTGCCGTAAGGGTTGAAAGTTCTGCTCGTGACACATGCTATTTCTGTGTTGGGGTGGCCTGCCATTCTCGGCATGATTCTGAAAGCACCTGCGTCTGATGCTCCTGGACAACCTGGTGCTCCAAGTACTTGCTCGGCATTGCTCCTTTTCGCTTGGTCATCTTCGTACCGGAGTTCTCTACAGCTTGCGTTCTCCTCTGGCTGGGTGCTTGTCAGCCTTCGGGCTTGCGGGCTGGTGGGTGTCTTCTGCCAGTCACTTGACTTGGCGGTCTGCTCGCCGGTGGCTCAACTACTAAGAGGCCCAGGTTGCCATCCATGCTGTACAAGTTGCATGGATTTGATTAGCGTGGGCGACTCAAGCTAGCTTCTCTGAAGAAGGCTTTACTGACATGCAGGAACGTGATGACCGGCACGTTGATGTGGAGGTATCTAGCATCACTATCGTGAAGCGGGCTGGGACACGCAAGGCTGGGCACTTGCTGCGGCAATCTTCGAATCTGGTGGATTGCGTCACTGCTGGGGTTCTTATCGCGCAGCTCGCCTTTCTTCTGGGGTTGCTTTTTCATGGCTGGCATCTTTTCCCCGCGGCCCGCTTCCGGCAGGCCGCAACGGGTGCGCTGTACGAGCAGCCGCTTCTGGCAGGCCAGAGCTGGTGCGCTGGACATTTGCCACTGCCACAGCCTCCGCATTTGCATTCTTCATATTCTTAGTCTGTCCATCGCCCTGAAACTATCGTTGTGCGGATCCAATGTGAATATCAATATTGCGGGATGCCGGGACTGGTGCTCTTCGCCAAGAACGATGTCCAGGAAGTCCCCCGTGGCCCTGCGCCGGTGGGCGACTCGACGCTTCAGCCGTCTCTTGCTTATGCCAAGTCAGGCGAATCTTGTGTCCTTGGGAAGCGGCAAGCATCAAAGAGAACCTGCACACTGGCGAAAGACGGTGCTAAGTGCTAAGGCCGGCGAAATCGCAAACTGCTAGGTATGTGGGCCTTGGCTTCCGTGTCGTCATCAAGGACCTGCAGGGCTGCGCAGGGCTGCGCAGGGCTACGCAGGGCTTCCACGTCTCCGAAGAGTCTCGCACTGAGGCCTCGGAGCTCGACCTAGAGAAGGCCGGAGACCAAGACCTGGCCCCCGTAAGAATGCAAGCCTTCATTTCTTGGCCTCGCTTTTGCCTTGTTTTTTACATCACTTTTTGGCCTCGTCCTGCGGGTCTGCAAGGGGCTTGCGGCTTGGCATTCATGAAGATCCATCGGCGTGGAGCTAGGACATGCTTCAGGGAATTTCATATATGGGCTGCCTCTTCTGTTGCTTCTTCTGGGCACTTCAGCTTCATTGGTCAGATTTTTACAAGTGTTGCCGGTCTTTGGCCGTTTTTGAGGGCATGGCTTGCGGCACACGATGGTCAAAAGCCCCCATGCCCTCAAGCCTAAACTAAGTTGCACTAGTCTAGCCCAAAGACTCCATGAGCAGCTCCGCAGCTGGGTCAAGATAGACTTGAACCAAAAGTCTTCAGCGATACCGATGTTGGCTGGAATGCTCTTGGTATGCACGACGCTGCTGACTGCACCCTTTAACTCATCTTGAACCCTGGCCCTAAACGAACCCTTCAAGCCCGAAACACCAACATCAGCTTCAAAAATCTTCCAACACCGGATCCTTGGATGCCTCTGGGTGTTGCAAAACATGCTCTTTGACGAAGTGTGACGTGGTTTGGGGCAGTTTGGGCCACAGGCCCAGCAAACCCTCCGCGGGCAGCGGCAGTTTCTCCGCCGACGCTCTGTCAGCCTGGCCGCGTCCCAACTTCGAGGACGCGGTTCAGGGGCCCGCTGCCTGAACAAAGCTGTTCAGGAGTGACCTCCATGTCTGCACACCCTCCTTATACCTCCTTTTCTGGCCTGTGATCGAACCGCATCGAGCACGGTGCGCTGTTTGGCCTGAATACCATCGACTACGTGACTAGGCACATCAGAGGCAAGCTCCCCAATTCAGCAGTCCAGAGCTGACATGCACATAGGAAGAAAGTCGTATCGCTTCTAAAGCATTCCTCTTGTGCTGAGGAATGGACCAAATGAACACATTCCAAGTTGTGCCGCAAGACGTTTTCATTCTCCTCCCGACATCACCAGGAAAACGACACAAACCGGTCGCCATCTCTCAAACAGCAAGATGTCCCAAGCTCCTCGATCATGGTCCCAACTTTGATGATCTGCGCGTCCTGTTGAAGTCTGGACATGGCCTCCCACACCTCCCCGAACAGAAGGTGAGGGATCAACAGATATTGGCAACATCAAAGAACGAGCCTAAAGACACATGAAGTAAACGGGTTGTCGGCCTTCCTCGAAACAACAGGTCGAACTGACATCGAAAGCAGTTGGAAGCAGTTAGTAGAATTGAAAAAAAGGTTTGGCTGAGTTGGACGTGCCCCCGCCCCACCAAAGGGGGCATCGGCCACCATGATCCACTTTCAGTGCCTTGTGCGGGGGTCCCGAAAGCGACCCCAGAACCCCCAATCTTAGTCGAGAGTTAGATCTGCTCTAAAGCTCTTGCTGTCTCAAGTCGTGGTTATGTACCATACCATACCATTAAGATTCTGTTGCGATGTTGAACTTTGATGTACAGCTTGCTTTGATGCACAACTTGCTTTGACACCTCTTCCCAAGGCCGGTCCTCTCCAGCCTTCTTGCGCCGATCCAACCGGGCTTCTGCCTTCACAAAGGTTGGCGGGCAGATTCTTCTCCAAAGCGGCTCTTGGGCCCTCGAAGCTTCAAGCTCCCCATACTTCTGATACTCGCCTGCCTGACGAGTGAGGTGCCCGGAAAGCTCGGTCTGATCGGTCTTTGAAGCAACCTGCTTGGGCAATGGCGAAACAAGCCATGTCAAACCTGACTGTCACGCTATGTCATGCTATGTCATGCTGCAAGCCGCAACTATGTCGTTCGAAGGGGCCTGCAAATGCAGCCATATCGTGCTGGAGAGCTTGAAATCCACGTAGTGGGAGTTCGGCGACTCCCGCACCTCTGTCTCTGTCGCCATACACATGCGTCACATGCATCATGAAGCTCGTTAGTCAGACGCCAATCTCATGTCTCACATGCTGCCGAAGAAGGCACACCGACTGGCGACTCCCGCTTGTATGCAGACAGTTCAACAAGCACTGCACCTCCAATGCGTGGATCGAGTCCCACGCACCCGTGTGCCCGTCGCCTAGGGGACAAGTGCTCCAGGTACACAAACATGAGGTAAGCCCCAAAGTGAGCCGAAGACCTACACATTCTGTAGCCTTGTTGTGCTGCTACTTGCTGCATCGGTAAGTGTCTGCGCCTGTGTCCGCATTCGCGCGCGCATACGAACGATTCAGGCTTCACTCTCAGCTTCAGAATCCATTTCAGGACATCGGTGGGTGTGCCTCTGCGATACCGTAGGCCATAGGCGACTAACTTGCTTCAACTCTGCAGCGGCTTTTTCATGAAAACATCTTGCCCCAAACCCTGAGTCCTTAATCCAAGCTCCTAAACCCTACCGGTAACCTAAACTCTCAAGACCCTGAACCCTGGAAATCCTCAAACCCTAAACCCTTGCTAGACGCCTGACTGCGTCGCACGGGGGGTGAGAGGAGGGCTACTTAAAGCTAAGGAAGTTGAGGGAAACCTATCGACAGCTATAGTCAAACCTATTGGAACCTATAGTGAAACCTATTGAAACCCTTCGGATGGCTTTTGAAGGGGGCGGGGGGGATTGGGGGCGGGGGTGCTTAAGCTGCCCAGAGCTTGGGTTGAGTCTCTGCAGCTCCTCTCTTTGAGCACTTTGAGGACCAGACCAAGAACCTTCGACAGCTCTTTGTGAACGAGGAAGGCACCGGCAAAGCCCTGCTGTCACCGAAGGGTCACTCAAAATGACTCGCACGTTGAAACGCAGGATGTGCCGAAACATGGAATCTGTTGTGAAGATGTGAAGAGAGCCAGAAGTCCAGCGGACTTGCAGCCGCTAGCACTTCTCGTTGCGAAATTAAAGCAAATGGCACCTGCCTCATCCAGGTCCCAGAGGTACACAGATGACACACCACCCTGAAGCATGTCAGTGTCCCATGAGAAGCTGACTGTGACATCCCCCCTTGCCGCATCCTCGTAGTAGCTCATGACGTATGCCTCGAACACCTCTCCAGGACTATCCCAGCGTGCAGGCTGCACGGCTGCACCATTCAGAACGAGGCCACCTCGTTGAAGCTTTCCTCGAGTCGCTTTAACCGCGCAGAGGGCCGGAAAAGCCTGTCCTGCGCTAAAACTGCAGAACAGATCAAGGCACATCAAGGCACATTGCACCCGGTGAATAAGGGCAAGAGGCAGCATCGCTGAAACCGCACCAAAACCGGGAATAAACTCGCGCGATAAGATGTGAACAGTCCCCTCCTCCTCAGCCTCGCCACCAGGTGGCAGAGGGATGTACCTCCCGGACACAGAGGCAAGTCAAAAAAATGGGGCCGAACAGTTTGGGCGCTTCTCCTTCATGTACCCCAAAAAACTACCATCCTCAATTTGTGGAACCCCCAAGGCCCCCAATTTACACTGAGAGCTCAGAGGGAGGCCTGTCGGACCAAGGAGATCGGTGGGAACCTTTCTTTCTCCAAAAACCATCGCAAGACGTGCCTGCATCTGTCTGCCATATGGGAGTTTACGAAAATAAGGGACCCCTAATATAGACCCCCAAATAGCAGGATCCCCTTAAACTCAAAAAAGGACCCCAATACGGTACCCCTAATTTCGGAAACCCCCATAGGGCTGCACTCTCTCCCTTCTGGCAACAGTGCCTCCGTCAAAGTTGTACTCGGATGCAACGAAGTACCTTGCATGGAATAGCATGGAATCCGCGACCATGGCTGTCAATGCCCAGCATGCCAGGCCTGTTTGCTTTGAGATCTTCCTTCACCTTCAACGGTCTGGAAACGTATGGTGCCAGACCAGACTCCTCATCACGTCACACGTTCATGATGCTCATAATGTTCATGAATGATTCTCACAAGTGCCCTCTGCTGCACATCGATGCACAACAAGACACCACCAAATCACAACCCAGCTCGAGATTTTGCGCTCGTTGCAATGAACTCTCAGCCCGATGGTCAAGCTCACAGTCCCACACCTGCGCCGAAGATCTTGAAAGTCCACAACGCGGGGCGACTGCATTTCGGGCAGTGGGTTTTTCATGTATCACAGGGGGGTTTATCCATCATCATCATCGACTCATCACGCCCCACAAAAGGACAGATCATGGACAAAGGCTTCAAAGCGGTCTCTTTTTCGAATGTGGGCTGAGCCGCCTTCGTCTGCCTTCCTACACATGACAGACTCCTCAGCTTTCGGTGCTCGGCACCTTTTGAGACGATTTTAGGTTCAGGACGTTTTTGAGACGACCGGGTGCCAAAGAAGTGACTGTTGATCTCTTGAGGTGTTCACAAAGAAATGATCCGTTTTTCCGGCCGGTCACCATGCTGTGCCACTCCGCTTGCTACAGGAGCTGTGACACTGCTGCTCGACAGCAATGCATCAACCCTGCAAATGACAGAAAGCCTGCTCTACGTCCCTCATGTGCTCAGAGCTCGTAATGCCATCAGCACAGGACATACAGGACTGGCTCATCTTTGATGCAGGTGGTTCGGAGATGAATGAAAGAGGCTTTTCAACACAAAAGCCTCCGCAAGGAGTGTCTCCTGGGCTGCTAAGAGTGCATAAAGCTCAAGATGGAAGTGAGTTGAAGTCGCAATGCCTCATGCGATAGATACGTTTACAAGTAGCTGCACCTTTGGAATCGGCGCGGCTGCGCCTTGCACAGTGTTAAACACACATTTGCGGGCTTCGCGTCTCAAAATTGTCAACCATCCGTCAGGGTCTATTGAGGAGGCAGTGCTACAGCGATGCAGCAAGCAAAGGACAACTGGATACTTTAACGTGTATGTTCACAGCAAAAACAAACTAGGCTAGAAACCCCAAGCACATCGAAGAGTCGTGCACTCCATCTCCACCCAATACTTTCCATATTCCTATGCTTTGAGAGTCCAGCAAAACTGTGCAAGTTTCAATCTCTTGGTTGCGCCACTTTCCAGTTGGAAGCTTCTGCATGAAGAGCATGAGCTGCTGGAAATCCATCTGCTTCAGCTGTGGGGACCAATAAATGAGAAAGACTGCGCAGACCTGAGCAGAGATGAGCAGAGAGGTCATTAACGGCCCCCTCTCTGGGCAAGCCCCGGCACAAGAAAGCTTAGATTAAAAAAAGAAAGCCCTGGTCTGAGGCGACTCTGGGATTCTGGGCAGCAGGCATAGACATGGAATGATGAGAACCCCTCCAGCGGCTCCGCGATGTATGTGTCCCAGAGGCGTATGACGCACGGAAAAGGAAACTCACGAAGCAGCAAGCAGTTCATCCACCTGAAGGAGAGCTGCAGGAAGTCCAAGCCTTGTGACTCCAGATGCTCATACAACTTCTGGTCGATTCGATGTACAATTTCCTTCAGTTTTGCAACCATCTGCTGTATTCCTGGCTGTCCTGCGGTGTAGTGGTCTTGAATGTCGCTTAGGAACTTGGTAAGGCACCAGTAGGAGCCGGCCTCTACAGAGTCCAGCATCTCGTCTGTGGCAGCATCCACATCTATGCCTTCAGGCACGCAGTCAAGCTTAGATGCCAACAAGACAACTACAAAGGGAGTTGCAATGTCGTTGATGCCCTGCACATAGCCACTGGCTGGGTGCCGTATGGACCAAATAAACAGAACCCGCTCCAGTAGCTGGTGTATCCGAGGATGGCTGAAAATGGGTAAGCCAGGTGATGTCCGTGGAATGTCCACACGAATCTGTCGAAGGATCGCTGTCGAATCCACATCACTCAAGCCATCTTGGCCTGACTCGATGGGCGTGTAATGTCTTCTCCGAAGCTCTTCATACTCCTCCCGCTTCTTCTGCAAGCCCGGGCCCTGTCTTTCCTTCACTGGGGGCAGATACCCCAGCAGCATCTGCCATGCTTCTGCCCGGATTTTCGGATCCTCCTCCGGTGCCCCTGACCACAGCAGCTCCCGCAGGGCCGCAAGGTCCACACTGGGCAACGACAGCCTCGGTGCACGAAAGGTGCGGACAACGTGAACCATACTGAAGTCATTCTGCAGGAACTTCTGCGTCCGTCTCCGAAGTCCTTCCGAAGTCCTTCAGCCCTCTCGATTTCTAGCCCAGAAGTACGCTTTCGTGTTGGCAAACCGGAGAAAATGCAAGTCTCGGCACTCCCCCAATCTCCCCCACTAAGGCCCTCGACCCTTGTTGGTTTCAACGTTCGGCTGCAGTGAATTCGCAACAGGCTTCAATTTTGGGGTCAAAGCATCCCAATACATCCGCATCCGTGGCCATACCTTTGTGCCTTTGTGAGTTCGACGTGGACTTGATGCCTTCGGTGTCTGAGAGTCTGAGGTTTGAAGTTCAGGGCCTTGACTTGAGCCATCGGGCTCTATGAAGAAACATACCCGCAACTCCTGACCATTTGATTTAACTGGCCTCTCATCTGCTTGTTACCTTATGCTTACCCTGCCAACCCAAGTCATGCGATGTAAGCTGCAGGGGTGCTTGCCTGGCAAGTTAAGCCCAACGTGTTCCTGCCAGCACATGCCCACTGTAGCTGTACTGTCAGCTTCTCGAGAAGCACCGGAACTCTGAGATGCCCAGAAGATTCAGCACGGGATGATCTGCGTACAACGTGCGATGACAATCTCTCGAAGTGCGCAGCAAGCACCCTCCTCCCCGACTGCCCAATTTTCTTTTGGGAAACGCCCATGCATCCCCCCCCCCCCAGTTTCTCAGAGTATGAGAGGTATTGCCTGTGTTGCATCCTGCCGTTTCTTGTCGTTTCTGCCAAGCAGCAGCCGATAGAACTTCTGAGCTTTGGCAGAGCGCCCGGTGTCAGAGCCAGAAGATGAGGAGACGCTCTGCATCGGTTGCTTAGGCAGAACGAAAATCACTGTCAGTTCAGCTGCCTGAGTTATTCTTCTTGCTTCGGGATGACATATGCAATTACCAGCCGACGGCATCCTGTCGTTAGGAATAGCTTCATCTGGTCTTGCTCGCAACTCCGGATTCCTGTGACCCTAGCCGAGAAAGCTGCGCCAAGGCCAACCGGTAACACCAAAGCTCACGTGGACCGTGACAGCACGTGAGCTCCCCGGTTCATGCCTACGTGATTGGTTCAAGAACTAAAGTCGAAGCACACTGCTATCTACTTCAGCTGAGACCTGGAATCCAAACTGTCCAAACTACCATCAAGGCGAGCATGACATCCGCAGTAGCCCACAAGAACATGATCAATGTGATCAAAAGCAGTCTGTCATAGTCTTCAATCGAGCCTTCGCTCCAGCTGCCGGAGCATGGCCAGAAGAAAAGCAGAGCCCTCTCTTTCTCCTTTCCTTCCCTCCTTTCCTTCCCTCCTTTCCTTCCCTCCTTTCCTTCCCTCTCCTTTCCTTCCCTCCCTCCTCCAGCGAGCATGGGCCCGAGGAGCCGCCGAGTCACACTCAGTCACACTCGGTCTGTTACTCCCTCCCTCCCTTGATTCTGCTCATTGCTACAAGTACGTGCATTGTCGCGTGTTCTCACGTCATCTACACAGCATCCTTCTTCTGCTGTCTGAGCTGGAGCAGCTGCAGAAAAGACCCAATGCACCCATGCATGGGCAACGGGTCCAGAAGAGGAGAGATGGCCACCAGGGCATCGATGTCCGCTTCCAAGTCCTCTGAGCAGATGATGAGCTCCACAAACACTCGCAAAGGTGGCGCGAAAAGGGAGCCACAGAGAAAAAGAGAGAGACGGAGAGACAGAGAGACAGAGAGAGAGAGAGAGAGACAGAGAAAGAGAGAGAGAGAGAGAAGTGAACAAAAGGACACAGGCTTTGGCTTTGCTCTCGGCTCCTTTGGAGGCAGCCTCTGCAGGAGCCCAAGAGCTGCGGCCGTCAGACTCAACTGCTGACGCTTATCCTGCGATCCAACGGGGGACCACTTGACAATGATGCACAATGATGCACAATGATGCACAGCACTGCTGGCACTACCCACCTCCGACACGGCAGAACTCACCAACGCGGTTAGTCCAGCCATTGCCGGGATACGTGGAAAATCATGTCATGCTGGCAACTCGTTGCAGCTTGCTGCTGGACCCTTCTGCAGTTCGCATTCGAGGTAGACTGTGCCACGGTAGTATGGTCATGCGCGTTTCTTGATGGCAACTGGTGATGTGGCAGCCTTGACGCGCAACAGCCTGCAAGGTTAACAACTCACGGTCCCTGATCGAGCTTGCTCTAAACTGTGCCCCAGAGAACTCAGCTCCAGGGTACATCGTGAACTCAGAAAAGGCAGTTTCTGTCGGACAAAGGCCCTTCGTGCAGCAGGCAAACTTCTGTAATCCATACTACTGGTAAGGGAGAGAGAATGATGAAGCCCGATACACTCGCCCCTATCTGTTTGCCTCTCGCTGAATTCTCAGGGGTTCGGATTGTTGCATATCAAAGACAGACAAAGCAAGGTACGTCTGCTTTTTGCTTTCTGTGCAAGGCAAACATGGCTTGATCGCCTTGGACCTGAAAGGCGTTCGAGCAGCTCCGCTTTGTCGCTTGTGCTCGTGCTTGCAGCAGCTTGCCTTGGAGTTTTGTATGCTTCCTTCCAACGTAGCCTGGCTCTAAGGACACTCAGTCACTTGAAGCCGAAGTGCCCGTCTGCTAATTACAACTCCCCGTCTTGCGCTCAGAGGTTCCGTCTTGGCCCCTCAGAGTACGTCAAGAGAGCGTTGACCGCAGCTTCCTGGCGATCACGGCAACGAGTTATTCACCCGAAAGGGGTGCCTGTTATGTCCACCTGAGACGCGCGGCTGCTTCTGCAGCCAGGTCCAAGCTCTGCCGAAGTCCAAGCTGATGGCCTGCAGAAACGGCTCGCTTGTGATCGTTACTTCTTAAGGACTATCTGATATCTCTTTTCGAGCACATGGCGAGCCTGGCTCAACAGACTTGCTGAGCAGAGACAGTGGTGCTTCCTGTCAGTCAAGGCAACACGGCACAGCTTTGAGTTTCTTTGTAGGAAGGCTCGACGAGGCCAGTCGTGCCTTGTACAGAGCATCGATCTTATCCTTCAGTAATTGGCAGCACTGCATTAACGGATGGCTCTCAAGACCGTTCTCCAGCCGCCCACCTTGACTCCATGCTTTTCGGCCCAGTCTTTGCCCTCCGTCGCCTGTGAGCAGCACATCAGAGAGGAATCCACCTGTAAAGGGTTGACTGCATCCCGCTGGTTGAAAGGGCCTGGAGTGCTTCGTCCAGCTGCCTGGTAGCTCCACGGAGCTCCACAGTGTGCCACAAGCTCCAAAAAGCGGCTAAGACGGCGACTTCATCACAGCCACGTATTCAGCCACCGTCTTGTCATGCTCTTTCTGCGACAGCGTTTGCAGTGCTTGCATGGTGAAGCCTAGATGCCTAGATCTGTGGCGGTATGCCTGACATTCCGTGGCACAGCTGTAATCCAGGGCAGTACGGCGGAGCCTTCAGGCGAGCCTTCTCGTTGATAGATCCAAGGCGCGACTGGCAGAGCGCCAAGTTTCGATCCAGCAGTCTCAACCATATGAGTGCAACATCGATTTTTTGGAACGAGAAGCAACAACATCAACAACACGGTGCAGATGAAAGTGGCAGCTTGCGGGACACGTCACGCAAAGTATAGGACACGCGCTCTCTGTTTTACCGCTGCTTCGCTCGACTCAGGCGCAAGAACCATACCCAGTTCATTGCCTTGGCGCCGGGCGCAAGATGGTGCAACGTTGCAACGGTGCAACGGGCGAGTGCTCACTTGTTCTGGCTCTGTGACACCAGCATAAGCCGCAGCACCGCCCGACAGCTGCAACATCAACCTCAAGGCTGGAAGGCATGGACCGGAAAGCCCAACGGAGGCCAAACATATGAAACATCAAGGAGCTTCTCCACACAGATCGGGCCGGGGAGCATTCTTTCGGAAACATGATGGCGAGAGGCAACCAGCAGAGACCTTGCTCCAATTGCAAAGGAAGCGAGCAAGATCACACTGCTGTGCGCAAGAGCTCTCAGCTTGCAGCATGCAGAAGGCGCCGTTCAGTATGCGCGACAGCCCGAAGACCCATAGGGTGCACACCCTCAAGGCTCCGAGAACGGCCTGGCAGGGCGGCGATCCTATCAAACATCCCAGAACCAGCACAACATGGCACTTGGCTGCCGGCATCTCCTGCGTTGGCTCGTCGAGCCAGAGCCAGCAATCTCAACGGAACAGACGAGGCCTCGCTAATGTGCATGCAGGGTACATCTCATCAAAAAGACGATGGGCTGCGTCGTTTGCATGGACATGGAGGCTGCCTTTTGGATGTGTTGAGCAAGGATGTGTATTGCCAGGGGCTGCTGTCTGTTGCCATTATGATGACGTGGCAGCAGGGCTGTGACTGGCTCAACCGCTCAACCTGAGATGCTTGTCTTGGCCCAAGGTGGTGAGAAGCAGTAGCTCAAGGTGGTGATAAGCAGTAGCAGTACGCCATAAAACACCCTCCTAGACCCAAATGCTCACGGCCTCTGCCATGTAGGCAAAGGCCAGTGTGCATCGCCGGGCTTCAAGTCCTGGCCTGAAGAGCTCCATGCTCCATTCCAAGCTATTCCAAGTTAAAGCTGCAACATCTGCTGAGCTGAAACTGAATCCGAACATCTGCTGAGCTCAGGGACCCTCTCACCAGACAGCTCAGATTCGCGAGGGTCTGCAGGGCATGGTGTCCAAGCCTCTCGTCTGTGAACACAAAGCACGGTCCTTGCACACTTGCACGCTTAGACTTCACAGGCTGCGCAAGTCGGAACTCTTCTTTCTGACAGCCGGAATAGTCGGAAAATTGAAGAACACGTTCCCCCCCCCCATCGCGGATGCACAACATTAACAGATGTGGGTTCCACAAGCTGGAGTGGAAACACGGACCCACGAACAAAGGGAGTGCAGACTTGCAACCAAAATCAGTCGGCACGGTAAGCTTGCACCTCATTGTACCGTCAACCAAGCTTTGTTTCCCAGCTTCCCAAATTCCCCAGTTCGATGCAGTATGCTTCTTTCCTGAATCGCCCAACCTAGTTTTCCTTGCGCCTGATGCCGCGAGCGGTGGCCAAAAAATGTTCGAGACAGCACCAACTGGTGGCAGTTTCCAAGGCAAGACATCACTTCTCGGCAAAGGGTTTGGGAACTTGGAATCGCAGGAACATCCGGTTTAGCGACTCTACCCAGACTTGTTTAGGCCTGGTAGGCAGGTTTTTGCAAGGTTTCAGGATGGTTCAGCGTTTACAGCGGCGAAGGCCTTAGATCTAGGCTCCGGGATTCCAGGATCAAGACTCTTGCTCGGCATGCTCGTCCCCCCAAGGCGTTTTGGGGGCTTCGAGCCGCGGGCCGTCCCCTGAGGCTTTCGGTTTGCAGGGCTTTCAGGGCTTAGGAGGCCTCTGATGTGCAGGTTCCTGGCGTGATGTGGTCTAGGGGGCGGAGGCAGAATACTCAGGCTGTCAGGGTAGAGGTCTTGTCTCCGTACTGGGGATTAGGACATATAGTCATGTTAGAGGCAGCGGATGAAGTCCAGTCGCCACGAAGCCTGAATCCCGAAGACATTGCACAGCTGTTCTCTGCGTGCTTGCTCTGTGCTGGTGCCTGGAATGTGAGACTTTTCTGCACGTCGAAAACTGAACCTTGTGTGAGTTGGAACCTGACCGTTCCCTCCCCTCCCTCGCCGAACGTGAATTCACGCTCGCCGCACCTCTCACGCCACATGTGAGGCCGATGTCCGCAGAAGCGGCAACCCATGATCTCAGTGCCAAGTTGATCGACAGAAGATGGTGTTTTATTCAGAAGAATTGCAGCCGAAAGCACATACAGAACGTCCGTCCAGAAGTACCCAAGTGAACGAGCGAACCTGGCAACAGCATTCCACTTCTCCAAAGCGCAAGTACACGGCGCATGTAGCGATGTCTCTCAGCACTTCGCATTGAAGTGGCGTTCACATAAGCTCGAGGTGAAAGCACTAGCACCTTCGCGGTGGCTCGCTGATATCTACTTCTATACAAAGCGCTCAAGAATGATGTGCTGCTGTCTTCTGCGTCAACAGGGCTCAGCAGGTACCTCAGACTGTCCTTCATCACGCTGTTTGCGGCGTTGCTTCGTCCTGGACAATTGACACTTGTGACAATGGCGGATACAGCAGCCCTGAAACGGCTCTGCAAGGGAAATTCGCCTCGGCCTCGACCGTGAGGCGTCAGAGATTATGGGACCCCCTGATTCCCTTCCTTTAAGATAAAGTCTCGATTGACATTGTTGGCATGGCAGCCCTCTCTCCCGGCTTCGGCCAGACCGCTGAGTTGAGTCTGGAGCCCCTTCGTATCCAGCGATGGACCTCTCACAACAACAGATGCCTGTACTGACCCCAAAACCGCGCCCCGCAGGGCCGAGGCAGGCGACGATCAGCATTTAAGACTGCATTTTGGCGACCATCTTTCGAAATTCTGTCACCCCTGGCCACTCCCAGCCACCCACACAAACGCTGGGTGCCGCACGCACTGCTCGCAGCGGATGCTGAAACCTAAGGTGCTGCCACATTGACTGACAAAAGAAAGGAAAGGGTGGCGACCTTGCCAATGTTCGCAAAGAAGCAACGTGAAGACGGTCGGAGCCCACTGCACTCTACTCCAAGGGCAAGCCTCTATGAGGCGGCCAATCCTCCCCCCCCCCCCCCCCCCCCCCCCGTCACCTGACCATCAAGTCATATATTTATGTGGCAGGAACCTTTACGTACGATTTGGACTGTGTCCTTGTTGTACTTTAAGTCGTGCACGCAGAAAACCTCTAGATTTAGAACTTGTTGTATGTTTTGATTTCCCTTCGATTTTCGCACGCACGCACGCATGCACGCAAGAAAGCACGAGAGTGAGAGAGAGAGAGACAGGGAGAGAGAGAGAGGGAGAGAGAGAGGGAGAGAGGCACAGGAACCAAGGAAAGAGAGGGGCCGGGAGAGAAAGAGAAAGAGACAAAGAGAGGGAGAGAGTAAAAGGAAGAGGTGAAGGAAGAGGCAGTGGAAGAGGAAAAAGCAGTAGAAGAGGAAGATCAAGAGAGCGTAAAAAAGAGAGAGAGAGAAAAGAGAAAGAGAAAGAGAAAGAGAAAGAGAAAGCGAAAGAGAAAGAGAAAGAGAAAGAAAAAGCAAAAGAGAAAGAGGAACCAAAAACATAACGAGAAAGAGAAAGAGAAACAGCAAAGACAAAGAGGAAGAGAGAAAAGTAAAGGGAAAGATAACATGAAAAAGAAAGAGAAAGGAAAAGAACAACAGAAAGAGAAAGGTGAAAGAGCAAAGGTAAAGAGAAAGAGAAAAATAAAGAGAAAGAGATAAAGAGAAAAAGAGAAGTGAGAACGAGAAGAGAGAAAGAGAAAAGAGAGAAAGAGCAGAGAAAGAAGAGAGAAAGAAAGAGCGAGAAGAGAGAAAGAAACCAAACAGAAAGACAACAAGAAAGATGGAAAAAACATAAGAGACAAGAGAAAAGATCAAAGTCTTAGAAAAGCAGAAAGAAAAAGGAAGAGAAAGACGAACGAGAACATGATCGAGTAAGAGAAAGACAGAGAGAGCGAGAAAGATAAAGAACAGTAAAAATGAAAGGAGAAAGAGCAAGAGGAAGAGAAAGAGAAAGAGACAGATCAATGAAAAAGAGAAAGATGACGAGAAGAGAAAGGGAGAGAGAGAGAGAGAGAGAGAGAGAGAGAAAGACAAAAACAAAAACAGAAAGAGAAAGACAACAACCCCAAACCCCAAGCCTTACACCGAGCGCACGCAGGAGCGCGCTCACCTTTCTCTCTACCTTTCTCTCGTTTAATTCTCTTCCTTTCTCTTTCTTTCTTTCTATCTTGCTTTGTTCCCAGCACTGCTTTGCAGGAAGCACGCTTAGTTGTAACTTTTTCTTGCTTACCTGTAACTTTCTGTGTTTTTGCTACATTTACTTGCTTGTAACTTCTTTTTTTGCTTACTCGTAACTTCTTCCGTGCCGTTTCCTCGGGTGGGGTGCCAAAACCCTTGCTTGCCTCTAACTTCTTTTTCCGGCCTCAAACTGCGAATGCTGTGAATTACAGCATATGCAGTCCGTTACAGGCTTCAAATCTTGCAACTTGCAGTCTTGCGGGGCTTCTCGCGCTTAGGCCTTATCCCGTAGGGCTTCCGGGGGGCTTAAGGTTTAGTGTTTAGGGTTTAGGGTTTAAGGTTTAGGGTTATAGGCCCCTGTCCTATCTATGGGAGGTGCCTGTTTATAGGGGTGATTAGGGCTTAGGTGTTGAGGGGTTTGAGGGGTTTTTGGGCTTTAGGATGTTTAGCCGCCCCTCCCATTTGCAAACACAACACTCGCATGATGGGTTCGAAAAAAGAATAAAGCGGGGTTTGGGAGGGACGCTTTTTAGGGGTTTTTTTCCACCCGCCTAGCTGATGCAGAACATCGCACTGCAGAGGGGTCCCTCGTTGTTCATGTGTCTTTCGGAGCCGCGCCCCGTTGGGACAAGAATATCCTTGTCCGTCCCATCCCTTCCGCTTTTTAGGGTTTAGGCTTTCGGGTTTAGGGGCTTCTTGGGGTTTGGGCTTCGGGGATTTTAGGGCTTAGGGGTTTTTAGGGCTTAGGGATGTTTAGGGTTGAGGGGTTTTTGGGGCTTAGCCCCCGCTCCCATTTGCAAACACAACACGCGCATGATGGGTTCGAAAAAGAATAAAGCGGGGGGGTTGGGGGGGGCGCAGCCCCCCCTACTTGCAAACACAAATGCTCGCATGATAAGATTTGAAAAAACATGCCTATGTTCAGGGGCTTTTAGGGTTTAGGGCTTAGGTTTTTTAAGTTTTGGTTCTATTAAGGTTTAGGGCTTAGGGTTTTTCGGGTTGCGGGTTTTTTGGGTTTAGGGCTCAGGGGTTCTTAGGGTGTAGGGCTTAGGGCTTTTAGGGTTTAGGGGTTTGTAGGGTTTCGGGTTTATGAGGGTTTAGTGTTTTAGGGTTTAGGGCCAGGTTTTTGGGGTTTAGGGCTCAAGGGTTTTGAGGGTTTTGAGCTTAGGGCTTTTGGGGTTTAGGGGTTTTTAGGGCTTAGGGTTTCGGGTTTTTGAGGGTTTAGGGTTTAGGGTTTAGGGTTTAGGGCCAGGTTTTTACGGGGTTTCGAGGGTTTTTAGGGTTTAGTGTTTTTAAGGGCTTAGGGCTTAGGGGTTTTTAGGGTTGGTTTTTTTGGCTTAGGGCTGGGTTTAGGGTTTAGGGCTTTTTAGGGATTAGGTTATTTTTGGGGGTTGATGGAGTAGGGTTTTTGGGGCTTAGGCTTAAGGTTCTTTAGGGTTTAGGGCTCAGGGGTTTTTATGGTTTAGGGAGTTTTTGAGTTTGATTGGGGTTGAGGGCCCCCAAACCCCAATTCCCTTATAATTACTGCGCGTGCCAACAGTCCAGGTACTAAAAGTCACGACTAAGCAAAAACAGAAGTTACAACTAAGCAAGAAAAGTTACGAAGTTACAACTACCCTAGCTACCCTGCTTTGCAGGCTCCCGGACCACCCCCGCTGGTGCTCATGGTGCCTTCTTCTTCTTCTCCACGCTCAAGAGGGTCCCCCCAAAGGAGGTCCCCCGGCCACGACGGCCCAGCGGTTCTGGTCCAAGGCCCCCAGGCTTGCGTTTGAAGCTTAGGGGGTGTTTGGGGGTGGTCATCTTTACCGGTCCCCTGGGTAAACTCCATCAGCTCATTTCTCTGATGGTTTCGGGTCTATTTCGTGTCCCTCAGTGTCTGGGCCCCCTTGGCGATCATCTTCCCGCTGGCCATCGTGGTCTCCTTCTTGCGGTTGTGTGGTAGGCGTGGCACTCTCTCCTCCTTCTCCCGCAGCTGACGGTCCCCTTGTCTCCGTTGTAGTGGCCTCCTCTCTCTCTGGCGCTGTCTCTGAGCTTCCTCGTGGTTGGTCAGCTTGTCGCTTTCTCTTTTGTCCCCCTGCCTTTCTCTCTCTCGCTCTCCCTCGCTCTATCTCTTCCCTCTTTCTTTCTTTCGTGGGGCCGCTCTCTGTCTCTCTCTCCTGCACGCATGGCCCCCCTTCGAAGAGCGACGTCCACAGGTCAGTTTGTTGCCTCTCTCTCTCTCTCTCTCTCTCTCTCTCTCTCTCTCTCTCTCCTCTCTCTCTTTCAATCTTCTTTCTTTCTTGGGGGCATGAGGGCCCGGGGGTTTCTCTTTTCTCCCTTCTCTTTTCTCTTCAGGGACCATGTAACTACCCGTAGATAAGCCTTAAACCATACACCCTAAGGTCTGATTCAAAGGGAACCCCCCAGGGACCCTAATTCAGAACCCCCCCCCCCCCCCCCCCCCGGCCCCCCCGACGTGGCACTTGCCAGGAAGCTACGGTCCTTTAGGGTTTACGGTTTGGGTTTTGGGTTTGGGGTTTAGGGTTTAGGAGGTTTAGGAGACTTAGGCGGTTTAGGAGGTTTAGGAGGTTTAAAAGGTTCAGAAGGTTCAGAAGGCTAGGAGGTTTAGGGGAGACCCTCAAAACAGGTCAAACTGCCTGCACTTTGGCCGCGGAGTTGAGTGGGGTTTAAGCTTCAGGGTTTAGGGAAACCACCCGAAACCTCGGTGAAATTGGTCTTGTAAGGTCTATGGGGCTTCGGCTACGCTAGAAGCTGCTAGGGCTTAGGTCAGTTTAGGGTCTGGGTTTTACTTTAGGCTTTTTGATGAAGTGGGTTGGTTTAGGGTTGAATTGAGGTTCACCTCGGTCCCTTAACCCTGACACGGGACAGCCTAGAGGTATGCAGATGATGCTTCTTGATGCTCCAGATGCCAAGGTTTAAGGCTTCGGTCTTTTTAGGGCGGGGGCCGGCCCGTGCCCTAGGCCATAAAAACTTCAAAAAGAAAAGACTCTGTAAGCCGCCAACCCCAGGCCTAAGGCGCTCGGATACAACATCCCCTTCCTCGGCACGAAAAGCCGAAGTGCTCGGTTTTCCTCCAATCCATTCCTGCCCTTATGAGCGACCTTTTGGATCCTGGGCCCCCATGACCTGGCCGCCTGGTGGCCCTGTCGTCGCTTAAGGTGCCCCCCTCTCCCCTGTCATTCGTGCTTCGTGGTTCATGGTGGCATTGGGGTTTGAGGTTTACTTTGGGGTTTAGGGTTCGGCTACAGGCCTTTAGGGCTTTCACTCCTAGGGTTTAGGTCTTAAGATGGCTTATGGTATCCCCCCATGGTTCATTGGTGCAGCTCAGGTTTAGGAATTAGGGTTTGGGGTTCCCCCATGCTCCGTGGTGCATGGTCGGTGTTTTGCCCTCATGGTCTGTGGTTCATGGAAAGGTTCAGGGTTTCGCTCTGCCCCCCAACGGTTCATGGGGGTATTTAGGGTTACCTTCATTGTATTCGGTTCCCCTCTCCCCCGACCGTGGTTCGTGCCGGGCTTAGGTCTAAGGGTCAGGATCAAGGGTTTGGGGAGAGGGATACCATGGTAGGTG